TTTTTTGATTTCTACTAGGATCTATGTACACGAGTCGCGTCTGCTTTACTGGGGGGTGGGGCTGTTACCCACATGTGTATCGGACGCACGAGAAATGCACGAATAACGTGTATCAAAACATCTTTATTTTGTGACCAAGCTCGACTTTGTATAAATCTCAGGATTTTCAGAATATGAGAGCGCTGCTGCTAAGCTTCTAACCAAGATTGACAGTAACTTTTATTAGGCCGACGTTTCGGTGCTTTCACCCTCTTCAGAGCCTTTAGAAATTCTAACTAGACAGGGCTACCTGCGACCTTTTTACCTTCAAGCTTATCTGTTGACAAAGAAGCCTTGTGGGGCCAAATTGTGTACATTGAAAAGAAAAAAATCAGCCTCAACACTGTAACTTACCTGTTCACGAAAAGTCGTAGACCGCCGCTCAGGCGCCGGCTGTGTATGGAACGTCGCTTCTTGACCTTGAGTGAGGTGCATTTAAAAACACTGATTGCCCACTAGATATCTCATAAGGGGAGAGAAAGGCTAGGGTGAACAAAAATTGCTCACATTTTCTCCCAATGTCTCTTCCACTCCCTGTTCCAATGTTTAGTCTAAGAACCATAAGTGGCTCACTCCCACAAATGCCCCCCCCCCTCACCTCCTCCCAACGACATGAGCGCCAAGGGTTCCATATGATCGAATCATGCTTCTACAGTACACCTCACTTGGCGCATTAACATAGAGACTGTTCTTTTGCAAGTTCGTTTCCCCACAGAGTTCTCAATTGAGCATAAAGAGTTTGGCTCAGTTACGTTATATAATATTTGCTAGATGAAACTAATCGCACACGTGAATTCACTATTTAAACTTTCTCGGTTGGTCATTGTACACGGAACACCTCAGGGGTAAATATCATGCAGCTCCAGAACTGCTTATACATCTTCAGGAAGTAGTCGTTCTTTGCTATTTTTTCAGTTTATCAGGAATGCAGCGTTTTTATATCCCACTTCCATTAGCGCAAGTGCATTAGATAAAACACAACATTGGTTCTCAATCATTTCTTACGGTGGTGTACTGATGAGCGCGGCATAGCGTGAAACCTGTTTGATTTATGAGCTCGTTCGGTTACTACCAAGGTCATGCTGATGTGCGTAACGGTATACCACAATAGTTTTGAAATTACTAGAGTTTTGCAGGTAAAACAATCAAGCTGTTTTCAAACGCCTGCTTTAGCCCTCGTTTGGTCACCTGACGTACATTGTAATCCATGAGAAGCGTAACATAAGAAAACCTCGTGTAATAGCTAGAAACCTGGAAGGTTGACTTTTCTATTTTTCTCCTCCACGATTAGACTACGCCTCAGTAGCACGGCCTCGTTCGTCTTTGTCAGCAGTTTTGTCCAGAGCATAAACCTGGAAGGGTTGAGTCTGAGAATTTATACATAGCACCGTCACTGACTGTGAGCAAATTGCTCCTTGTACACATCAGATGTGAAGCGTCGAGTCACCCATAAGAATGGACCATTCGAAACATACGATTTCTAGGATACAGGACGTTAGTCACAATTTACCAGTTTTTGGATGGGTTACCTGGCCAATGTTATTAAATGCTTCTATCAATGAATATTGAACACATGTCTTACTAGTGCGTCAGGCTATTCATATTTTAGAGGCTAGTCGATGCCTAACTCAAAATTTTTGATTTGTGACAACTGAAACGTGCGGATTCTTAGGCCGATGTCAGACTTTGCGAATCGCGCGATTCGCTACTAGCGATTCGCGCGATTCGCTAGCGTCCGCGGTCGCGTTGCGGTACCAGCCAATTGAGTGATTCACTGGCCGCGACGCGACCGCAGACGCTAGCGAATCGCGCGATTCGCAAAGTCTGACATCGGCCTTAGAAAGATGGCTCTCACGAAGCAATTTTTTGAACCAATTCGCATCTTGTGAGTCTCATCTGTTTCCTGCAGAGCATGGAGAACCAGAATCGATTCCAGGTATTTGGTGCTATCTTTTTCAATGGTTTGTTAGGCCTCTCTAAGGGAATCTCTTAGCCTACACCGCTGGCGCTGAAAAGGAAAATATTTCACCGACCATTCCGAAAGGTATGAATGTAAATGGCAATCGACCGGAAACGAATGGAATGGGCTATCATTGTTCCAAACCTGCTGATAGGGCCGTGCGTGTGCATTGCTAGGCACAATATTTTCATTGCTTTTGGGAAGTGGAAGTGTGGTTACATTTTACCCAAATCGTTACCACTACTCTAAGGCAGCGAAAAGTAGATTCTAGAGTGGCCCAAAGGGAAGGTGGGGAGCCCGATGTCGCCAGTGGTGCAAAAGCGGGAAGTCTATCGAAAAAACGTAAAACGCGACCCCCTTGTTTGGCCGTTGATTTTCGCTCACGGCAGCGGCTAAGAAGCGGACGTATGGACGAGTTTACCGCAACGCGTTTGGTGGCACCATGCCAATCCATGCTCCAGTCGAGTTGCTTCAGTTGTGCCGCTGCTGGCAACACAGCTCGTCCAAACACAAAGTGAGCTAGTGAGTGGAGCGTCTAAGGGTGGGGCGATTTTCAAGTACTGCTCGCGTGAAAGCGCTACATCTCGCCGCCATGGCAGCCAAGCTACTGATTTTTGTGGCTCCTATACTTCCCAAATGTGCTCTTCTTTATCGTAAACGCTTCCTTCAAGGTTACGCCGGACGCCTCAGGAGCTAGTCGATGCAAATTTCTATAGCGAAAGGATAAGGAAATATGGGAGAGCTCAGTGCTCCAGTCTCGGCGTCTCCTTTTAGGCAAACCACAAAGTAGGACGTTCCCCGTTGACATTTTTTTTTCGAATGCTCAATTTCATTCAGAATCGTAGTGGCCCTGGAGCGCAGTTTGGCCGGACGGATCCAATTGATTGTTGCTACTATTCAATGTATAAATTAGCATTTATATGTACCCTTATAAGCGGAACTGATATCGATTATGTGAACTCGGATCGATGGAAAGATTGTCTGATCTATGGGTTCTATCCACAACTTCATCACCGACCTCTAGGCTTAAGCGCGCAACAAAATCCTAGCGTTCCGAGCCGCTCAGATTACCAAATATAGAACTAATCGCTCGAAGGCGCGCTTCATCAGGCCTGAAGCACTTCCCTTTATAACTACGGACCGCAAAACAGACGATTTCGTTCCCCCCCCCCTAAGCCAAAGAACTTCACTAAGGAACTCAACGTCAAATAAGGGACTATCAAATCCACCACTTGTAGTATCCTCGCTCAGCTCTTCTATCCATGATATCTCGTGCTTCGAATCATTTTTCTTGCTTGGCGCATAATCCCTACAGGTTTGCCTATCCCTTAACTTGCAAGCGGCTCTTTCAACGCACAAAAAGGGTGTCCACTTCCGATGCTTGCACCGTTTGCGGCAAGTGGAGCAAGTCGGTGGGCGTGCCGCGTCAATAGCGGCGCGAGGAACGGCAATGCTGAATTGCCTGCAGATATTTTTCGTTGCGAATTGCACTTCAGTCCGCACTTTTAGGGGTCAAGTTGTTCTTCCTACTACATATGTTTCCTCTTGTTCGACTTTCGACTTTATCATGGAATCCTCCTCTAAAGTTGACAAAGCTGGGAGCAATACGAAATCCATGGGTAAAAAACGTAACCTAGCATCTCTTCCAATCAGAAAAAGGGGCCAGTAATCATGAAATATTGTGACGACAACATCGTCAAGGAGATCGTCGTGGGACTGATCAAGGAGTGATCTACCGATCGCGCGCCAAGGATGAGTATAAAAGGATCGATTGAAGAGCCGTCAGCAATTCATTTCTTCTTGGGATTTTTTCTGTTGTTGTAACATTACTATTTCCTCAACCGTTGCCTTTTCTAGAAGCGAGTTTCTAATTAAGTTTGCCTTGTTTGGTCTATTTGGTGGATTATTCGAGTATCGATCATTATATCCCTGTCTCATGCTATTGACTGCTTGTGGGAAGTGGGAAACTCTTCAGCAGTGTGTATGCGATCTCTTGAAGTCTGTCTGTATTACAAACACACAAAAACCACCCTGCAACTCATTGTGAAGTACAGTACACTGCCAGTGTGGCGAGATTCTGTGCATGAACGTAGAAATTTTTATCATCTCCATATTCAGAATAAATATATGTATGTACATCTCTGGGAAGCAAATAGAAGTTTTCAAAGAGAATAGCGGTATATTAGCGACGAATGGTGGTGAATGCATGCTGCGCAGGCTATTTGGCAAAGCGACAACAAGCTGAACAGATTGTGAGAGTGGGGTCCTAAGAAGAAAACTTTGTGTGTGGGTGTGTGTGAATATCATGCATTGAGAGAAAGAGGACCTCGTTGCTGCGTGGGGTGAGCGCAGAGCAGCAAACGCGAAAACACTGAATGAGCTGCACCTAGAGAGCAAAGGCGTTGGTCCAGCTCAGAACTGGCCCCGAACTTTGTAAACAGCAAGTACAGTATACTATTATCCGTGTTACTGTAACATAAAAATGGTGCAAAGAATGAAGAAAATGATAAGAAATGAATCGAAAACAACACGAAAAGAAAAGACACTGAATAGGAGCAAGGCACGATTGGGATATAGTCCGAGGACACTTTGACTAAGGCAAATCGAGAATACGACGAGTGTGAACACTCTTTGTTCCCAAAGATGACTATATGAAATTGATGACTGACTGAACGATGATTATGAACGACGTGGTAACATATAACGGAACAAACAAACGCGAACCACAGTTGAGAAACGGACAGCGAAAGAGGAAGGAGGAAAAATAAACGAAACAGAAAGAGGAGGACAACGATAGCACCGGCTCATGGTAATCTCTCTGCGATTGATGGTGGTTACGGTGTCAGTGATATGACCCCAACGCGTTAGGCACAACCGATTGATAAGCAGCCAACCAATGTGACTTCAAGGCATCCGACGAAAGGCGGCGAATGAGCTTTGTGGCGTCCGGTAGTCGTGACAGCAACGCGTGATGGTAGCGACGCTGGCGACGGCTGCTGCACTACTGCTTGTAGGGATGGTCACGGGATGTGCCCAGAACACGACGTTGGTTAATCATTGCACCTGAATGTTAGCACGGTTAGCAACATTAAAGTAGTAGTTATAGTGTTGTTGACGAACCCTTTCTATATTTCTGCTGGTGCCCACTGCTGCGGTCATACTCGGCGATTGGCGGTCGACGACAAACGCCCACAGCGACAGCGAAATAGTGTTCACGATGAAGAGACGCAGGAGAGCAGAGAAAAATAGTGTGTTTTTCTCTAATCGCCTCCGTCTCTCCATGGGAACACTATTTCACTATCCGCCGGCCGCTGGTCGCCGAGTATGAACACAGCATAGGAACCAAACCTTAGGCAGTTTAGCTGAGCAGCGACTACGTTCGTTCTAATAGTGTGCTAAAAGTGCGCACAAGAGTAGTAGCTAGCCGTGTGGCAATAGCCAGCCGGTTATCCGGGTGGTTAACGTTAGCAGTTCGAAATGTGTAAAGTCTTAGTATTTCATCATGCAATCACTAAAAGACGGCGCTCAAATTCAGAAAATCAGAGCGGACGCGGTTATCAGTATCAGTTCAGTTGTGTTGTGTTAAGAGATATATGAATGATATGGATGAAATGGAATGAGCATGAGGAGGACTGTATGAGATCGTGGCAGAAAACTCAAAAGCGAGTCAAATATCACAATAGACGATATGTCATAATCACCGATATGCTGAAAAGGAAGGACATTTCTGGTACACGTATGTGGGTAAACTGAAAATCGTAAGAGAACAACAACAGTCTGCAATCGCAGCGACAAAATCGTACAGATAATTCAAAAGGAAAAATAAATTAATCCATCAAAGGAGAAGCCGGGAAGAGGGCTGATAACCTTCCAATGAAGCTAGAAGATCTATTGGAAAGAATTGTGTGTGGATCGGCTGTAGCAATAGTGTAGTGTAGGTCCAATAATCGGACAATTTCGTGTTGATTATGCCCATTTCCGAACGAGAAACCCACCAGGAGCCGTTTGAGTGGCGGCGAGGTCGACTCCGGCATAGTCGGCGTATTGTCCTCCCAGCAGACTGTATTGCTGTTGGGCTTGGGCCACGGCTTGTTGTTGTGCCGCTTGTGCTTGTGCTTGTTGGAATTGCTGGATGGCTGCCACGTTCGCCAAGTTCTCATAGGACAAGCCTTGGCTGTAACAACGAAAACGTGAAAGAAACGATGAAACAACGATGTTCTGAGAAGCTGGGGTTAGGGCCAGTACAAAACAATGGAGGTAAATAAGCAAAACAATGGAGGTAAATAACGTTAGGAAGCGGCGTCGCACTTTGGTAGGCTCCTACCCAGGCTAACTGGGACCTCCATAACTTGAGTTATCGCTCCCTGAAGCGCGGTGGGTTATGCCTCGGTATCTCTGCAAATCGGACATGCGGCGCATTACCAGACGGGTAGGTCCCAAATTCCACCTCGTTGGACGCCCCCCCCCTATACGTGGGCCATAGCAGGGCTGCGATCTAATCGAAGTATAGAAGCGTAGATGTTGGGAATCATCCCCAGACTGGTGAGCTACTTCACACGCCATGCGATTTTCATTTAGTCGTTTAAAAGGTTCCTTTTTTGGAAATGGAACGCGATAATCTACAGAACAAGATCGGAAAAGCACGGGTAGACGTTCATTAGTATTGGGAATCACTGTTAGTATTTTCGTTCATACCCAAGTAGATTCTGAATCAATTTTCTCGAGTGTTTGTACTGACCCTGATGAAATTGAGGCTAAAACTACCTGAACAATAATTGCTGGTATTCGGCAGCCTGTTGTTGCTGTTGAAGAATGGCGGCCTGTTGCGCAGCTACGGCGGCCGCATTGTTGCTGGCAGCGACGGCAGCTGCTCCCAGTTGGCTTCCATGGGACTGTGTAGACCAAGCATTTGCGTCTCTGCTGGGCTCCTGCGGCTCCCCGACCAGGACTCATCACAATCGGAGCGCCGGCCACGGCCATTGTCGGTGATCTCGTGAGAGCTGGATTGTTGGCCAGCATCGGTAGGACACTTCGGGCTTGTGCAGAAAGGGCGGCTGCTTCTGAAATTCACAAAATTACGTGAAGGAAATGGAGCAACAAGAAGGAAAGAAGAAATCACTAGATGGGAAAGGCACTATTCCTTAACGGCACTTGTGGCGCGGGCGCCAGCGTTTTTCGCGCTAAAAGGTGATATTCGTGTTCTACGGGTCAAATTACCCCTGAAGGCAAGTTTCTAGCCAAATCCACAGTCATGGACCAATTTCGATAAAAATCCGGCTCAGTTTTCGAGGAGTGGGGCAGTAAAGGGTAAATAGTGCCGCAGAAGTTATCCAGCTACTCGACAAACTAGCACAATCCACTATAAACATGAGGAGCAGGCTGCGAGTTTGCCGAGTATAAATGTAGCTATGGAGGAGAGAAATTCTAGAAAAATCTATGAAACTCACGCAAAGCAGCGGCCAGCGGTTGCTTGAGCTGGGCGGCAGCCGCGGCGGCAGCTGCGTGCTCTGACGCTGAGCGATAGGTGCCGTTGATGATCGCCAGCTCCATGAGTTGCTTCCGTTTCAGTTCATCTTCACCTTCAGGCTGAAAACAACATTTATAAGGAATCATAGAAACAATTCATGAGACAACAAGGAAATAAACGCAAAATATGAAAACCTTTTCTTTTCACAAGGATTTCGAATTATGGGCAAAACTGCTGACCTCTGGCGGGACTCGAACCCTAACTTATCTTTCCCCATGCCGTGCTTATCCCTTACAACCCCATACGCCCTCCTTCAAATTTCAAGCTGTTATCTTCCAGAATTGGCGTCATGAATGACAGAAATTTAAAGACACAACGCGAGATTAAACCGCTGTAGTTCTTGAGCACAGAAATGCAAGCAGGGTAGAAGGGGACCAGCAGTGATTGAAAAAAACAGGGAGGTCATCGTCAAAAACGTTCAAATTGAGGTCCTGTTCACTTTAAGTTGCGGCAAGTGAGAGATTCAGCCCACAGGAGAGATAATATGCGAGAGAGCACAGTGGATGAGAGAGCGCAGACACCCACATTTTGCGAACGGGAACAAATGGAAACGGTCGAAGCGGTCTTGGCAAGGCTCTAGAGCATATCTTGCGCACTCTCGAGCCAGAAAAACGGGACATCTGCAACCTACATTAACAGGTTTATCCTACCCACCAGAGAGATTGATCCACCTAAACAGGTCGTGGGGTGTGCCTTTAAGCAAACGCGCTCCATTCAAACAAAAATTGATTTGCGTATCACTGGAGATTTAGAACAGCAGTACGTTTCCAAACTTTGTGCAAATTGCATGATATTCAAAGCGCTAAAGCAACGAGGCGTCAAAAGTCAAGCTGGCGGTGCTTTCTCGGTTCTGTTTTAAATTAAGCGATGGTATTTTATTTACTTTATTGATATTTACTCACTGTTAGTTTATCAACAACTCCTTAGTGATCTTATTTTAAGTTATGCTGATTCCTTAATTGTAGAGTTCGGGTTCAAAGGTGAAACTCAGGTTCGGGGGGAGGCAGCCATGGGCGGCCGCTCTGTTGTTGCTCTCTTCCATCGTGGGCCATCCCCCTCCCGAGAATTTCACCGCGTTCAAATCCGTGTCTACAGGTCACCGAGTAGTTATTCAGAGCAATTTAAAGGAATCTTGCGCGGAAAATTCTTGCACTCTTTCCTAACATGAATATGTCAGTTGTGATCACTGGAAATAGCACACAAAGTTTCACGCATGAAGATTCGGTTTCTGAAGAGAAACAAACGTACAAAAACTACACGTTATGGACCATCGAAGGACCAGGAGGCAGAGCCAGGCGAGGCATGGAAAGAAGACGGCGTTTGGCCGGCTACGTACCAGGCGACGCAATGAGAGAATCGGGTTAAAGCGCGCGATTTCGGAGAGTGGAGACAAATCGATCGATGGAATAGGATGGAGTAGAAGTGTAAGATGTGAATGCAACGAAGCAGAAGGCCAGAAAGAGCTTCTAGTGAATGCACTCCAAGAACCAAGTTTGAGCATCCCCGTCGCCAGCATTCGTGAAAGACGTCCGTGGGCAATTCGAACGCGTAGCAGCCTTTTCGAGTTTTCGAATTTCTAATCAAAACGAAAGCAATACTTCAGTTCTTTTCACTATTATCGTGGATAATGAGTCTCAAGCCAGTGATTTATGGCTGAAATAGAATCATGATTTTTCCGCGCAAGATTCCTTTAACAAAAGCATTGGTAGTGACTGGTCAGCCTCCTGCCGCTCGAGAAGATTCACCGCTTCCATTCCGTTAATGTCCTGGGGAGCATTGAAAGGATGTATTCAATCAGCGGTACGCGATGCTTATAAACGCAAAAACCTGAGCAACTCGTCGTACTTGCCCCCTCATTCGACATATTCGAAGTAGTGCATGTCGTTATGCAATGGATGCAAATGCTTTGATTGGAACTCGTGCACGATATGTGGTAGTTTGCACCCGCTTCTCTATTGAAGAAGCTCTTACAGCCGAAAGAACGACAGGCAACACGGAAAACCAAAAACGAGGCTTTTGCCTACTGTCAACACACGCCTGTGCGCTTTATGAAGCCATGCAACATCGGACCAGTTTTCGAAAAAATTACTTCGAAAAAAAATCAACAGCCCCATTACACTAACGAGATCCAATGCCGGATTTATCTCTTGATGTAACTTGCGCTTTTGGTGCAGGAAATGGCCGATTTTGGGTTTTAAGCAATTATTGAGCACGCAGTTCATCAGTTTCATCTCTATTAAACTACGACTTACTACAGAATTAGGTTACAGTATGTGATAAATTCTCTCAATTTCGGAAATTTCCTTCATTCAAAAATTCTCTCTTAACCCATTCGCGACCGCGCAGGATTGCGCAATAGCAGCAGCGTCAGAAGATTTTTCTTCAATAAAATCCGAGTGAAGGGAGATTTCCTCTGCCCAGGGCTGGCGTAGATGAGCGAGGGTATGAAGATTCTTTCCATGGAAGAAAACTTTCCAAATTCCATTTCAAGCCCTGCAGCCACAGTAATACCATTGTCCCGAGTGAGAGCTTTGTCAGCCACCGGTGGCTGACATTGTCACGAATGGGTTAAATAGCCTCCATCCATCCTTTCTGGAACGTGGGCATTTTTCACTGTATTTGTGTCGACGAGGCTTTAATGGTGGGACTGATTAGCTTCTATTTTATTCTGGCCACAGTATATACTGAGTCGGGTTGTTTGATAAGTGCACATAAAAGTGCGGCGATCATAACTACATTTTAAACTTAACATCGCACGCGATTTCGACAGTCAAAGTATTAAGAAAATATGTAAAAGGAAATTTACTTAGATTTTGGAAAGCATGAAACTGTGAAATTGCTGGGCGTAATAAAATTCTCTCCCAAGCATGCAAAGGCAGTTCCACCAAATTCCGCCCCCCCCCATTGGAAAAATCACAATTACTATCCAGTCCAAGCCGCGGGCCAAGTCGAGTAATCACAGTTAGGTCGTGTGGATTAGGGAAGGGGGGGAGAGTTAAAAATTTATGCCTATTCAACTGCCTGTTTCAAGCACGATGATCGCGCATGGAGGACACTTAAGTACCCACGCCTATGACCGAAACCGCCACCAAAAACGTCGAGCGGTTTTCGCGGCTGCTTTCTGCCACGTACGGTGACTTCCTTTTTTGATCAGGAAGAACTTGAATGTGAGACTTTCCCTTTCGTAATGGGCTTGGTAAATGGCAGGTTTCGGTCACGAATGATGACAGCTAAACCTCGTAGAGCTTGTAACTGATGGTTTCTCATGATTTACATGTACGACTGCGGTTACACTGGGCTGCAGCTAATTGCCATTCGATGATAACTGCCGATACTTGCTGACATTGGATACATCTATTTAGTAGAACAGGAATCACCTTTCAAATCCTAGCTACGTAGTTTTTTCTTCAGCAATGCAGTGAGGCTTGAGTGCGAGCCTACGTTCCGTAGGTTTCCTCAATCCATGTGCCTAATCCCGGCCACGGATTATAATCCCAAAAACTCTACCTACTCGAGTCGTTGATGCAATCCTCATGGTAAAGAACAGGGGATGCATCCAGAGATGCGGTTCTGGACCCATCCCTGATCCCTTTGGTAGCAGAAAGGTCAAGCTTCACATCTGACCGTTGGAAACAGAGTACGCCGTCGACGACTAAAACTATTGACGTACGAACTCCCCTTACTTCCCGCCTAAAGGCACATACCATACCTTCTGCCCTCTTCAGATACCAATATACACCATTATACCTTCTCAAACCTACCTTACCCATCCATTTACAAAAAATTTTCATCGAACAACTAGAAGGATCGTATATGAACAAAAGCCAGAAAAAAATAGCTAAAAATATTCTAGCCATCCCGCTCCTCTACCAATTCTAATCTATATTCTTTCCCAGGACCTGTCCCAAAACTGTTCCCGATCAGGCACTGTCAAGCCCAAGCCATCATCTTCTCATAGGATGCAACTTTACTGTCTGGAATTCTCAAACGACGGTCTTACACTAATTGAGCATTTCTGGACCCAGCACCCTGACCAGATAGCTTCTACCTACATACTAATTAATGTGCCCAACTCAATACTCAGCTATCGCTGCAATTTCTCACCTCGTCCCTCTTTCTAACCTCTTCAGTCACCAGGTGTCCCTGAGCCCGACCCTCGGAGTTCAGGAGAGTCACACAAAAAAAAAAAAAAACCCGACTTACTTGCTAAATAATCGTAGCAAGTTGGCTTCTAAGTAACCTGCTTCGTAAATAACTCTGCACCCCAAACAAGCATCAGAAAGAGTTGGTAATAAAAAGTTGCCTATATAGCCATCTTGAAGGCTCTCTCAAGTAAAGGGCTGGGGAGTCCGACCTAGCCGGAGTTCATTAGGGACGACGAAAAGAGAAAAAAAAACAGTCGATGATCGCCATCAAAGTGGAGCCTTTTCGGCGCCTACGCGACGCAGAAAACTTTTCAAACATGTACTTAGGTGTGTTTCGCTAATTCGAGAAAAGATGGCGTACCGCTGGAACGAGAAGTTTTTTGACTTCGTCGACGGCTCGCGCCACTTTGATTCGTCCCCATTTAGAGTTGTCCTCAGCACTGCATTAGCATCATGCAACTCTTCGACAAATTTTCCCAATTATGGCTTCCCCGATTCAATTCCTCCCTAAATAATGTCGTGAAACAATTCTCTCGATTTTTGAAGGTCAAAGATTACCTTTTTCTTATCCCGCAATGAAATCCCGACCCTTACATTATCTTGCACCCGGTCGATTGCTCTCCAAACTGTTTCGCTCATTCTCGCCAGTCCTAATATCCGTCCGACGAAATTGTACGGGGAAAAAAGAACACAGATCAGCAAGAACAGGATGAACATGAGTTTCGGTGTGCATCCTTTCCATCTTGATCCTCAGCATCAGAGAGCTATCCTTTGACCTCTCCAACAGAAGGTGTAAGACCACAAGGAACAACATTTAAGTGTCGTTCTGCACAAAGAGCGGAGAAGGCCCTACATAAAACCCCGTCCTTCACCCTGGAGCTCTGTCACAGTGAGCTTGGGCTAAAACTCCATCCCTCGATTCAGGACGAATGCACTGCAGTTCTCCTCCTCAAGAGGTCACCTCAGAAAAGGACTCTGATTTGCTACTAAAAAGCCCACTTAGCCTTAGCCTAACCCAAAATAGCTAAGCACAAGCCACGGAGTCGATGACAAGCCTAAGGCTGGCTAAAGCAAGGCCCTAAATTTAGCGTCCATCATCGCGACAGCACTGTTAACCTGACTAACATCTCCCGTATAGACACATTTCTTGGACTACTTAAAGCCAATTGTTGAACCTAACAAATACCCACACCCCCGGTACTTATCAGAAGGTAAACATGCAATTTAGTTACACTTTGAATGATTACTTATGTGTTACGAGCCGCTTTCATTCTTATCCATTAGCACTGAGAGGAATACAAGGAATGCCCCCTCCAACTCCATTTTCACCGAGGTACCATATTCTTATCAAATCCCTAGAGTCAAATCAACATCAAAATCTTCACGGTATTTCACCTACATCTGGATGTTCTTTGGCAGGAACGAAGACTTTTTCTATGGTTGTTTGGACTTCTCCTTCAGGTTCTGGGAGGCTCATCTCTTCTTTCGTGAACTCGAACTGGAACAGCGCCACTCGAACTTTGCTGATCTCTGGAAAAAAGGGTCATTCAAGCACTTTGTCACCGAAAGGCAGCTTACAACTTCTTTCCTCAAAAATTTCAAGGACGAAGATGTCATCAAACGGATTTATACCTTCATCTGCGAGTCGTTCGAGATGATGGAACACATTGGGGAAGGCGGAGAGCTGTTTCTTATCCTTGAGCAGCTGTGACAAATATTCAACAGAGTATTGCTGACTGGTGGCGACATTTGAACCTGAAACGAGAATCAGGTTCAGCCAAGGGCTATGCCATTATAGGGGTGGCAATTTGTTCGTGAGAAATATCAGGGTTTACCTACGGTTGAGGGTATGAGCAGAGTGGAATGGAGCTGCTCAGTCATGGAAGTGGTCAGGCGGACTGAAAACGTGACCCCAACCGGCTACAGCGTTCGCTATTACACCAGCCTAGCCTCTCTGTGTGCCTATCTGCGCTCCACGCTTAAGACGCGCCTGTTCCCTGTATTAGACAGATAGCCGCCGCCGCGGCAGCCAGGTCGACGGGATGTGTCCGGGGCTGTAAGTACGGGGAGTTGGGTCGTTTTTATGACACCTCGTCACTCACAGGGCCCTACCACCAGCATTCGCGTTCCCTCTCGCCGATATGAAAACTTTACACTGCTACGAGCCAACACACGCGCTATGCTGCCACTCGATTGATCCTCAGCGGCCGCTCCCGGCCCGCAACTACCACGTCCAGTAACCGGCGGAATGAGAAAATCTCCGAAGGAATCCCATCAATTATCGCTTCTACGCGACATTGTCAATGCTGTGACAATCGAGGTCATTTCAGCCGTGAGCGCTTGAACCGGCAATTGTCTAATGAGTTCTAATTCACTGCAGTTAGTGCTCACCAATTGTGCTTTGCTCGATCTCGAGTCGTCTCGGAATGTGAGTGCCTGCCAATTCTCTGAACGATCATCGCTCAAAGCTGTCGATTATCGGGCATTGAGTGATGATCGAACGATCTCAAGAGAAACGAAGAGAGAACGAGAGCGACAGCATGCAGCTTGCCTACATCACAGCAAGCTTTCACAGACACATCAGAGGGGTTACAGTAGCCGTGGTTGCTGTTTGCGTTTATGTTAGAAGCGAATCGAGGTAGGAAATGCACAACAAGGGGATCCCCGTAGTTACGGTTACGGTCAGTTACAGTACTACCATAGCATACTTCACCGTCATAACATACTACTACAAGCAATTAGTGAGTGTGTGTGCATCGTGATTTGTGGTAAGAAAAAATGATAGTAAATGATAGTCAATGATAGTAGATGATATCAGTAAGTGAAGCGATATGATGTGTGTACCATTAGCGTGGTGCTGATGGTGTTGTAGTAGAGCAGCTGAATCGGCGGTCATGACTGCTGCTGCTGCTGCTGGAGCGGCAAATGAAAAGCCGTCCGTCGATGATGAAGGTGTGAGCGAAGATCTCGATCCGCCAACACTCTGCAAGAAAAGCTGACCACGTTAGCACAACCAACCACACCTTTAGCGACGCGAAGGAACACAACAACAAAAAACGGTTAACGTTAGCCCAGCATACAGTTCAATTACATCATCGACTATGCCCTTCTACCGCGTTTATACTCGGCGATTCGCCGAAAACCGACGCGTGGCGGAAGAATGAGACGCAAAGGGGTCAGCCGACGAGTTGCGGCGTGTACTGTAGCGGTGTCACCGTACTAATAATACATCCTGATGTCAGACTTCTTGTGTCGAGTGACTCGCTGGCTTCCGCGCTCCGCTCTTTATCTGGTGCCGCAACGCAACTGCGCACGCGCAGCAGCGAATCTCTCAATTCGCGAAGTCTGACATCAGCCTTAATTCGACGCTAAATCGCTACAGTACACGCCGCAACTCGTCGGCTGACCCCTTTGCGTCTCATCCTTCCGCCACGCGACGGTTAGCAGCGATTCGCCGAGTATAAACGCAGCTTTGAGTATCATGGCCAATACATCTATGGGCACTTGCTGGCGGCTGGTTTCGCCGTGACCACCCGTACTAGACGCGCGACCACTGCGAGATCTCATCTGAGCATCTGATCTCGCAATGGTCTCGCTGGGAGATCTCGTGAGCGTTTCTACGTTACGCTATGAAGAAATCGTCTCCGCAGTTTGCTGCGATGAAACGCTACGCCACATAAGTAATAGTTATTGATAGAAAGTGTTATGGGTAAGTTACCGAGTTCGTCACCACAGGCTGGTGACGAAATCGTGAAATTGCTACGGAAAAGTCGATTTTAGTGTCTGAAAAGTTAAACAACTGATTTTGTAAACACGAACCACGTGATCAGAATGAATGATAACAGAACAACCAGTAGATGCTTGTAAACTGAAACTTGATCGCGGCTTTGAATCGGGTTTGAAGAGAGAAAGCGGGGACGACACTGTGGGTGGTAGGTGGAATGCACTTTATCGCAGATGGTGGATGAGGGTGTTTTCGCGTAGTACGACAAATGATCAGGAGAAATGGAAGGATATCAGTTGGAAGAGTCGTGAGCACGAGCAGCAGCAGCAGCTCGTGAAAGAGCAGCAACAGCGCGACAACTGACGCTCTTAGGGGCGCCCCCCGAGGAAAACACCAAGCCGCTCTGTTTCAGACGTTCATTAAATCAATCGATCGATCAGGCTGGCACGTGGTAACAGTTACCGCTCGGGGACCCAATGCAAGGGATTAAAGCGGTGAAAGGAGGTAAACAAGATCACGCGAGGAATGGGGATGAAGTCGGCAGCAGGAGGAGGGAGTGGGAGCAGAGCAGCGAACTGCTGACAGATGGAAACCATTCGAGATGAATTGTGAACAAAAGAAGGGGACGAGTATGCTGAAGTTGGGCGACATCACCAGGGCTAATGGTCTACGTGGAGGCGAGAGATACGAGCGAGATGGGGACGCGGATAAGGTGGCGATGAATCGGAGCAGACCCCGTCGCACCGCGCCCCGATGACTATCACCGACACAACGACCTTCGAGTGACGTCCACGAAGACATCCGAACATTCGTAGATATCGAGAAACATACCACCACGCACGCAGATCATCAGCAGCGGACCGGCGGTGGGGGGTGCAGGCGCAGGGCACGAACACAGCGGCGCGATCTAATCAGCAGCAGCCAGGGGGAGCCGGTGAAAGTGTTTCGTGAGGTCGCAAGAAAAGACAAATGCACATTGCACAGGTCACGGCGTGCTGATGGCCAAGAGGACCAGAGGTGAACGCGATGTTTTACACAGCGCCGCAAGAGCTCGCTGCTGCTGAATGTTGACTGAGAAGCGCTTAACCCCGAAGGTCTGAGTGTCGCGCGCGCGCCCAGCCAGCCAGCCACTCAGCCTCAGCGCGGCGGTACGGTTAGCCGAAGACGAGGTGGTGTAAGAGTGTCATGCTTGCGGTGCAATCAAGCAGCAGCAGAGTTGGCAGCAGGGACACCTTGTCACCGGGAAGAACAACTGGGAGAAATGGGGTTTGATTAGGAGGGGCAAGACAAATCATGTAGTGACTGCTGCCATCACGACGGCGATTCCAGTTCTGGTACCGAAACAGGTCGTCGTCATCTTCGGCGGCGTCACATCGTCGTCGCTCTCCACGAGACACACACTAGCCAGCCAATCAACCAACTATCACGATTTACTGCGGCCGCCTTACCGGAAACCTTTCATTCTTCAACCGATCGTCATTATCCCGATACCTTCTCCTTCCCCACTTCAGCTCGCCGGACTAGAAAAACGAATTATAGCTATTTAACGGTCTCGGTCTGCTAGCCCAGATTCCTAGGTCACAAACAGGTCAACGCTGATGGGAATCCTCTGTTAAGTGTGTCCAAGTTCGACTGTGTACCAATCTTGGCACAGTCTGAAGAAAACGGCAGGGTAGTAGCTGAGCTTCTACCAGGATTGACTTCATTAGGCCGACGTTTCGGTGCTTTCACCTTCTTCCGAGCCTGGAAAAGACGAAAGCCATTTAGAAAACTACCGCTCGCCCAAACACTATTCCAACCTACAGGAATCATTGCACAGGGCGTAACTGTGACGAGGGAGAGGTGAGGAGCGGGGAAGCCAATGGCAAGGAAATGCTTATGGGAGTTAATGTCGTTAGGGGGGACATCCAAGTGGGTGAGCTATTTACAGTACCTGAGACCGAGCCTTATGTAGGGGAAGGGATTCTGGCGGAGGGGGAGGGGGGTTAGGATGTAAGCGATATCATGGAAGAAGATGAGACAACCTTCAGAGGTGCTGACCAGAGTGGTCCCCCCGAGCTGGCAGTAACGCAGTTCAGTAAGTAAAGCCGTTAACCCTCTGGAAGTCTCTTAGGTCATTAACCTAAGAGACTTCCAGAGGGTTGATCATGTGGGTGAAATCACTCCAAAGGGCTCCCCCAGAAGATTTCCAGTTCCAGCACAAGTTTCCATAAGTAGCATTTCCCAGTGCAAAAAATACCGCGGTGAAAGCGAAAACGATGCGGCAAAGTGGTCCAAAACAGGACCTATAGCACCCAAAATAGCGCCTATCATAGGTGGCGCGGTTTAAATAGATAAAGCTTTTGGGTATTTGCTTACGGGATCTCCGAAGGGTTGACCATGTCGATTAAATCGCTCCAAAAGGCGCCTCGAAACTGAACGCACCGCAACCCCCCCTCTCTGGAAAGATTTCCAGCTCCAAAGCAGCAAATTTCCCACAAATGCATTTTTCCAGTGCAAAAAATACCGCGATGAAAGCGAAAACGATGGCCCAAAACAGGACCCATAGCACCCAAAATAGCGTCTATGATAGGTGCTGCTGTTTAAATAGGTAGCTTTCAGGTCGTTTGCTTACGGGACCTCCTTAGGATAGACCATGTCGGTCAAATCGCACCAAAGGGCCTCTCGAGACTAAGCGCGCACCTGACCCCCCCCCCCGGGGGAGAAAGATGTCCAGCTCCAGAAAGCAGACTTTCCATAAATTGCATTTCTCAGTGCAAAAAATACCGCGGTGAAAGCGAAAACAATGCGGCGATGTGGCCCAAAGCAGGATTCATAGCACCCAAAATAGCGCCTATCATAGGTGGCGCGGTTTAAATAGATAAAGCTTTTGGGTCATTTGCTTATGGGACCTCCTGGAGGGTTGACCATGTCGATTTAATCGCTCCAAAGGGCCTCTCGAGACAATGCGCGCCGCTGACCCCCCCCCCTCCCGGAAAAATTCCCGGCTCCGGACCAGCACAATTTTCCATAAGTTGCATTTCTCAGTGCAAAAAATACCGCGGTGAAAGCGAAAACGTGCGGCGATGTGGCCCAAAGCAGGATTCATAGCACCCAAAATAGCCAGCGCCAGTCGCAAGTAGCGCGTTTTCGGGAAAAAAGAAGCGAAATAAACAAAGGAATAGGTCTTGGTAGCGCTGCTATTGAACCATTCTCGTCGTCGGGATAAGTGACGTCGAAGTGCAAATAGATTAGGAATTAGGTTAGCACTACGGCTTCTAAGACGAAGTCTATAAGCTCATTTTGCGTCTATAGCAACCGCTGAATTAATGTCCAGACACCGACAGCAACTAGCAGGCAATCCACGGCTCGGCTACGAGCTCTGCCTCCTTAGCACAGTCTTGAAAAGTGTCGAACGGGCCCAGGAAGGAAACTGACTGTACAGTTCTAGTACACCGTCACGAATGGTTGAGCAGAATGTTCTTTGTCCCTTTAAGAAGATGAAAACGCTTGGTGGACAACTGTGCCTGAGGATCGATTGAAGAAATTCTCATATGGTCAGAGACGCAGACATCAAAGGACCAGAGTGTAACACGGGCACACGCCGCGTGCGAC